GAAGCCAAATAATATGAATTTTGTACTGGATCTGACAAGTATAGTTCTTAATAACTTGCTATGAGATTCTGAGATTAAAAATTATCTGACCCATCTAAAATTTCCTCATGGCTGTAAAAGGGGGATAATCTTACCTACCATAATGAATTGTAGAGAAGACTAAATATAACAATGCATACATACAGGCACATAGTAGGAGCTCAATAAATGGTAGTTTTTACTACCTGGTTAAAGTTCTCCTGCACTGGTCTCTATTCATAGAGTCCCTATTCAGGCTCTCCCTAACCCAAGACTAGCAGATTTACTTCCAATATTGGCTGTTCCAAAGGTTCTGTACTGGAATTAGGGTGCTGAATACTGGACTGAAGGTTCTTTATTAACATTAATGAGATAGTACTATGTCACTGAAAGATGTACATTTTAAAATAGTTTTCCTTCAACCTTATAATTCTCTTTGGTTATCACCTCAACCTATGGTAGTTGAGTCTAATCTTCATAAATGTAGGTAACAATAGTATGCAGAAAAAAAGGGTAAAGAACACTAAGGAGAAGAATAGCAAACTCTCTTCATGTCTTTACTTGTGCCTTGAGAAAATGAACCACATCCTACCCAGGAAACTGTTCCCAGGAGCCTTCTGCAATCAGTCATGTAGTGAGCAGTTTCTGAAGAGGCAGCTCTGCAGGTGTGTAAACACCTAGTAGAGTAAAATGTGTATTCCCATCCTCCCCAAATACATACCAGAAGAGGGTAATTATGGGCAGGTGGGAGAGAAAAGGCAAATAGTTGGTTTATAAACCCCTTTAACCTACTTCTCTTCCTTAAAGTTGATAGGGCAAGTAGTTGATAAGAAAATGTAGGCAGCAAAAGTACACTTCTTTATCAAGTATTCTTTCCTTAACAACAGTCAATCTCACTTCTTTATTACTCTATCCTATTATATTGAAAGTTATTGATCAAGTTCTATTGGAAATGGAGGCTTACTTGCATTCTCAAAATTGCCAGTCTCCCCACCCTCCTTAAGTCTCTCCTTCTATGGATAATAAAATACAAAATTCTCCTGATTCTCTTCTGTATCTCTTTTACTGTCTCTTCTGTTTCTTTATGTGATATTTTCTCTCCATAATCTCTCCCTTCTTTTAGGCCACTCTTATGATTTCTATGACTAAATATATATAATATGAGAATCTTTCTCCCTAACTCCTTTCATGATTGCAAACTCGATAAACATTTCCAATTACTTAAACGCTCTGCCTTACCACATATACAAAACAACTATATATCATATCTCCTACTTACTCCCCACTTCCAACAAAGAATGGATCCCTCTCCAGGTTTCACATCTATATTAATGACATCATTATTCTCCTAATCATATTTGATGGAACCTAGCATCCTCTTTTTTTCTAAATATATTTAGTTCCTTAACTCTATAAATTCTATTACCTTAATTTCTGTTCCATCCTCCTATTGCCACTACTATAATTAAAAGTTTTATCATTTTCCATACAGACTACTCCAAAGACCCACTTAAATAATATCATTTCCTGTAGCCTTTTTGCTGCTAAATTAATCTTTCTAAAGCACATCCCTGATCATGGTTTCCAGTTGAAAAACATTCAGTAACTTCTCACTGCAGAACAGATTCAACCCAATCTTCTTAGTCAGGAAGGCACACCAGGTTTCAGCCCTCATTTCCCTTTCCCATTTGTCTCCTATTCTCTCATATATACACTATATGCATATATACCCCTGTTTGAGTCAAGTGAACTTTTCTTTGTTCCCATATTCACTACATTTTACCACTTTATATCTTGGAGTTTATAAAAGTCTATCTTAAATATCTAGACTTAATCTTCTCACCAACTTTCTCCCCATTCTTAAAAGCTAAAGCCAAATACCATTTTCTCTCTGAGGATCCTTCATTTTTTCCCCAATGAATGTTATTTCACTTCCCTCCCTAAAATCTTCTAGCACTTTGTAGTACTTCTGCATCCTTGTCTGTGTGTTCATAATGTACTCTCATTTGAAACTGCTTCACCTTAAAATTCTGAACTCTGAAATATGCCTTTCTATTCTTCTCCAACTCCACTGAGCCTGTTTTGGGCTTTGATCTTTCAATAAGCAATAACTGATGATAAACCAGGCATGGTGGCACATGCCTGTAATCCCAGCAGCTCAGGAAGCTGAAGCTCAAAGGATCTCCAGTTCAAAGCCAGCCTCAGCAAAGTGAGGCTCTAAGCAACTCAGTGAGACCCTGTCTCTAAATAAAATATAAAATAGAGCTGGGGATGGGACTCAGCGATTGTGTGTCCCTGGTACCAAATAAATTAATAACCTAGGATATACAAACTATTCTCTCAATCTGTTGTTATCTTACATTAACACTTGGTTCTCTTCCCATCTTAAATCCCAATGACAGCATTTTTAAAAAGATATTTCCATCTGGATAATTCACAGGCACATCAAACTGAACATGGCCAAATTAAGTATCTTCTCCCATAAACTTACTTCTCTAATACTCTGAACTAAATTTCTTGATTCTTTTTTTTTTTTGGGGGGGGGTACTGGGGATTGAACCCAGAGGCACTTACCACTGAGCTACATCACCAGCCCTTTTTAAAAATTTTATTTGGAGACAGGGCCTTGCTGAGTTACTTAAGGCCTTGCTAAATTGCTGAGGCTAGCTTTGAACTCATAATCCTCCTGTCTCAACCTCTCAAACTGCTAGGATTACAGACATGCGCTACCATATCCGGCCTAAATATCTTGATTCTTCACTCACTGTACACATTTAATTATTCACCAAGACATACTGACTTCATCCCTATAGCTATGTATGTTTCATCTCTAAATTTTCGCTAGTAAAAGTGTAATCACTATTTAACTGTGCCTCTTCCTCCTCTTGTTCTTCCAATTCTTCTATTATAGTATTTAAATAATGTTCCCTAAAAGCATTGATCTGAAAGTGCCATAGAGTCCTACCTAAAAATCTTCCAGTCTTCCAGACTGCCAGAACACTGGCGTACTTTATATAAGACAATATTCAAACTACTTAGTGGAGCAGTCAGCCCTATTACCTGCCACTTCTCCATACACAGATCCTAAGTTAGAGGCCCTGAAATACATTTTGTTTTCATGATTTCATAAAAACACTATTCTGTGACTGTTTATACAGTTGTCACCCAAGTCCAGTTCACCTAGACTTCATCCCCACCTCCCAAAGTTTCCTCCACCATATTTCTACATTACTTTGTTCATGTGGCTGCATAACTGAATTTCCTCCTCCAATTTGTAGACTTTTTGTGAGATACAAGCTTGTTTTATATTTATCTTTATATACACAGTATCTAGCATAATAAAAAGTTTTCAATAAATGTTTTTAAACTAATGAATCTAATTTGAGAATACTTAAAATTAATCTACTCTGAGTGTTTTGTCAAACAATTTCAAGTAGAAATTTGTAGGAGTTCTGATTAGGTATCTAGGGAAAATGAAATGAAGTGACTCTCAGACAAGTGGACCAGTTCCAGAGCCATGTCAGAATAATAGGACTATGTCGAAATACAATCAAGACAGCAGAGAACAGAGTGTGAGGGGCAAGAAGGAGTGAGTAGGGAAAAAAAAAAAATCCTTAACTGCATCTACAGAAAGGAAACTATCTAGGGTCACAGACCCCAAACTCAAGCCTTGCTCATGACTACTCATTACCGTCACCACCACTGTGCTTTCACTACCCCCATCTTCAATTATACTGACTGATAAATTACCTACTAGGTACCAGACACTAACTAAAAACTGTACTACAGATATCAATTGATACTCATGAGACAATCCTACCAGATTGGTGTTAACCATGTTTTAGACACAATGAAACACCTAAAAAATTGATGATAGGTTTCCTAGCTAATATGTTAAAAGATAGCCAGAATGTCTACAAAGGTCAGCTTTTAAAATCCATTCTTTCTGCTCTATTATTCATTTGCCAGAGGTACACATAAACTGGGGACTGGGTTTACTGCTTTGTACTATTTAGATATATCTGATACTTTTTATTTCTTCCTTTGTGTCTCTTAATAAACCTTCTAGATAATAATCATTTTGTATTTGGTTAATTTATTATATCTATGTATTAGCAAAAACAAAATTGAGGCATACCAATTTTCAGTTAGCAGGAAGCCAAAAACAAAAATTGATGATCCGGCCCCTTTGACAATTTAATACTCTTGGGTAAGACTTTAATTGCTAGAAGGAGTCATATATTCCATCATGTGTTCAAGCAAGTGAACAATGTATTTTTAATGTGGAAATATTTTAATTAATGGCAAAACCTTTTTATTTATATTACAGAAAGATATAAAAAGATTGTGTTTTAAAGTCCAGGTCAGCACATAAAATGAAACCAATTAGAGACAAAATAGTCCTTAAAATTAATGAAATCCTTGAAAATCCCTTAAATTGCTTTTAAAGCATCATGTAATATAGTATCAGCCCTCAAAAAATTCATCTCAGAATATCTTTTCCTTCTGCACAGAACAGATCACAATTTTTTCTGCTGCATACCATGTGAAGCATCTGGCTGATATTCAGGGGCATACTGAATGAAAAAACTGACATTAACATACTGGAGTCATATTCAACACTGTGAGATACATAGATGCTATAAGCTTCTGTAACAGTATATAAGAACTGATTCCACCCATGCGAACACCACATTCATTTCTTCTATATCATGCATGTTAGGCATATATGTTCATTGTGAAATGAGAGCTACAATCTAAATATTACTTGTATTATTCAGTGTTTTACTTTTTGGTGTTTCAGTACTAGTTTTGATTTATAGCTTGAGCCCAATGATTTCAATAAATTATATTCTCACAAAGGTGACTCTGATGTCTTCTTGTTTACTGTACAACCACTGATGCTTACAATTTTAGATGTAAAAAAGAATCTAAGATAATAATGTGTCATTTAAAAACAAAAACAAAATAAACTGTCTTACCTTCGTCTATTGATGCTTCACTACTATATCCATCATACTCTGCAGATAAAGGACTGTATTTTTGTCTTGTTTCCCAAGCGTAGTTCTTTTGTCTAGAATCTACCAACTGTAGTCTAGAATTATGTGTTCTGGATAAGGCCTCATGATATTTACCCAGTGCTTCATCTTCACTTTCAGAGGATGAACCATGCTCATCTTTGTCCATATAGGAATTATCTATTTGGAATGACAGGAAGAGGAAATGATCATTTAAACGCAATAAAACATTATAAATTTGCTAAAGGGAGTTCATAACCCACTTGAATCTAATGTATGAAATATGATATGTCAAGAGCTTTGTAATGTTGTGAACAACCAATAAAAAAAAGAAAAAAAAAGAAATTTGCTAAAGTTTTACATCCATATGTATGTGACACACATATACATCTCAGCATATAGATGAAATCAATTAAGAGATAATCCTTGAAATTATTGAAATCCTTGAAAATCCCTTAAACTGTCCTTTAAAGCATAGTGTTTTATAGGTGCATACACAAACATACATACACACACCCTGAATCCCTGAATTTTCAGCTTTAGAGAAATATAATTTTTCATGTAAGACATCTAAGCTTTAGATTTTTATGTTTTAATGGAAAAAAATCAATTTGTGTATTTTAATTCTTTAAATAATCTTAGTCCCAGGAATTTTTCAATCTTGAGACATATAAAGGAAATTACAAACCTTTTAAAAGGATCAGTAATAAACAAATGAAGTTATGGTTGCTGTCAGTATATAGAGATCTGATTCAAATAGTTAATAAGATACATTTTTTATTTTCATTTTGGACAATAATTTCAAAACTGGCAATGCTCAGTACTACCAGTGAAACAGAAATGGACAGACATAATTATTGGTGAAATTATAACTGGTACAATTTTTTTTTTTTTGGTACTGGGGATTGAACTCAGAGGCACTCAACCACTGAGCCATATTCCCAGCCCTTTTTTGTATTTTTTTTTAGAGACAGGGTCTCACTGAGTTGCTTAGCACCCTGCTGTTGCTGAGGCTGGCTTTGAATTAGAGATCCTCCTGCCTCAGCCTCCCAAGGCGCTGGGATTCTAGAGAACAGTTGGCAAAATATATCTAATTCTTAAATCTGCCAAGTGTCTTTGATTCTTTTCTAGGAATTTGCCAAATCCATTTCTGAGAATTCAGCCAAAGAAAACTGACAGGTGAACAAAGATATATGTTTGAGACAAGTCACAGCATTATGTTTAATAGCAGAAGAAAAACAAAATAATATATAACCAAAATGTCCATCACTGGGCCTTGGTTAATAACTTATAATGTGTTTATACAATGACATATTTACTATACAGTCTTAGAAGTAAAGTGGTAAATTTATAAGTACTCACAGACAATAATTAGAACATCATGTTAAGAGAAAAGAAGAAGTTACATCATACAAGGTATGGTTATATTCCTATCATATCACACACACACACACACACAGATGCACATACATTCTATATACTCCTTCATGCAATACATGTACACAGACATTCAATCTATGTCTGGAAAGATATATACTAAACTGCTAAGATTTATTATCTGTGAAAAGTGGTATTACTAGAAAATTTTTACTTAAATATACCTAAATTTCAAACAAAATTTTCAAGAGATATAAATTTTATATTATTTTTAAAATCACTAGCAGCAGTTAGAATAGTTCATGATTTCATAAAACGTATTACTCATTGTGTAGCCAACAGTCTCATGTGACTATTTAAATTTAAATTAGTTAAAATTAAACAAAATTTAAAATCCCAGTTTCTATACTATCAGCCACATTTCAAGGGCTCATAGTCACATATAGCTAGTAGGTAATATAAGGAATAATGCCAACATGCAGAACTTTACCACTGAAAGTTCTACTGAACAGTGCCAAGAAGATGGCAGAGCTGGTCTAGAACCACAGCCTTCTGACTATTCACAGTTGTGGGCACTTTGAAGATACCACAGTGGTGGGTTTAAGGCAGCAGGAGGACTGAAGCCCTGTGAAGGCACCTACCCTGTAATCAAACTTCATCTATTATAAAATGCTACTTGAAGTAGCCTTATATTCAGAAGTAAAAAAGAAAACTCTTCCTCTTTATTCTGTATCTTATAACTCCTATGCCAAGACCTAAAACACAGGTATTAGTAATACTATAGTGTGGCTAAAGATAGGATTAATCTGTGGGTCAAAATACTCTCAAAATGATTTTTGGAATACAACATGTTTAAGTTTAGTACTAACTATACTCAGGAAGACTCGAGGGATATTTGGTTTCTTTAGGTAACAACATGCTTTCTAATGAAAACAAAGCAAAACAAAATTAAAAACCTTGTTTTTCTATGTATAATAGATTCATTACTGATGTTTATCATATTGTTATTTTCTGAATAAAATATTATGTAAAATATTTTACTTTGTTTATTTTATTTATTTTTGCTACTTTGAATAATAAGGCTACTAAACCAGAATTGCCAAAAACTACTGAATCTCACATTCAAAAACTACTATAATAGACTGTTATTTTATAAGAAAGTTAATTTACAGAAAATTCCAGATGAATATTTCATAAAAATCAGTGTATTTTTAGTCTTGTGATTAGACCCGCAATAAATGGAAATGACAAAGGATTATCAGAAGCATATTGCAGTTAATACAGTATAAACTGCAATGATGTTTTGAAAATTTCACAAATACTATGGTGGAAAACTACAAATGTTTACACAGAATTTTAATTCAATATAAAGAACTTATGAATAATAATTTATTGTTCATGTATACTCATTCTGAACTAAGTAGTCATAAAATTTTTAAAGTATGGCTAAATGAATAAATACATATCCTTAAGCATGTTATTCAATAAAATAAGATCTGCTCTCAAGGAAAAATAGAAAACATTTTATTTAAATTCTTACTAGGGCAGATTTGAAGAACAATGCTGTATAAAGGACTTATGAGTTAAACATTTAAAATACCAGTAGAGGATACCAAATAAACTGACTAAAGCATACACTTTCCTAAAGAAAACCACAGAGTTTCTGGTTGTAAAACAAATGGCCATTAAGAAAAGTTAGGAGGCAGGGGATATAGGGCCTGGGTTCAATCCCTAGAAAAAAAGAAAATAAGGAAAAAATAGCTGGGTGCTTACAATCTCAGCAATTCAGGAGGCTGAGACAAGAGAAACCAATATCAAGGCTAGCCTAGGCAACTTAGGGAGAAACTATCTCAAAATAAAAAATAAAAAGCACTGGGGATGTGTCTCAGTGATGGGAGTGCCACTGGATTCAATGTCAGTATCAAGGGGAGAAAATATGGCCAAATGATGTAGGAATCAGCAGCCATACTTTGTGGTATACCAATAACACAAAGGCTCCTGAAATGATTCTTTTTTAAAAAGACTTTTAAATATTACCCAGTAAGAAGATTCAAGAAATTTTTTAATTAGATACACAGGCACAGACAGGAAAGTTAGGAAATTTGGATATTGTTTTCCTAATCAAAAACAAAAACTCAGGAGGAAATTTAATCACTCAAACCAACATTAGGAGACCTCACCTTTTTCTGGTACTATCTTAGAATATTTTTCAACTTTACTCTTTGCTGTTCCCTTCTTGGAAGAATTGGCTTCATTTTTCTTTGTTTTAATGTCTCCTTTCATTTTGTGGTATTTTGTTAGGTTTATTTGTTGATTGATTTTTCCAGAAAACTTATTTTTAGAATTAGTTGATGATGCTGGATACATATCTTCTTTCATAGTAGGTTTCTGTCTATTGCTTGTCAAAATATCTTTTGGAGAACATTCATTCCCTTTGAATTCTTTACCTTTAATATGTTTTTCAGCTTCCTCTGAATGATCAGAATGCCCTAAATCAATAAGATGTTCACTTTTATTGAAATGGCCTATTTTCTCTTGATCTCGTCCCAAAAACGCATATTGAGATTTAGCATATTCTTCTCTTTTATGATTATCTGTAACAATATATTTCTTTTTTTCATACAGTATGCTTATTCCATTGGTGGTATTCTCATTTTCTTTCATTTCTTGATATCTTACCTCCCTTAAATCATTCTTACCATCATTGGAGATTCCTAATCCAATTTTTTTACATCTGTCAATACTTTCAAGTCCATGACAAGTAGATTCAGGTTTTGTATTCTGCTTCATAACTGAGATCCCATCATTTTTCATGTAGCCTTTCAAAGAAGAATCACTACCATTACCAGTTTCTTGATACTCTGATAGAGTCTGTAGCCTATCATTAGTGTGTTTAAATAATCTTTCTTCATGCATTCCTTGCTCTTGAGAAGCAAAAGTATTATTACAATTTATTTCCTTTGCTCTGTGCTCTAAATTGGACTGTGTTTTCTGACAAGCAGTGTTGTTGGAGACTTCTGGTAACCTGGTATTTTTTGACTCAGAAGTATTCACAGTTTCTTCTGTGGCTGAAATTTCCTCTTCAGGGCGAAAGCCATTTATCATACTTGTTACCTGCTCAGCAACTGAGTCAGTTAAAGCATAGCTGACCTCCCCAACAGCAGTGGTCAAGTCTTCTACAGCACTACTGATTGTGTCCACCAGGGAGGACACTCCCCGCAGATTCTGTTGAAAATTTTTGAAAAATGCCATTTTCTAATTTCTTGTTCCTAAAAGGTACAACAATGGAATTTTCTCTTCTCAAAATATCAACTACTTTGGAACTTGGATTTAATACTTAAATGTTGCTACTCCTTAGCTCAATTAGTATTTCATACAGTGCCTTTTAATTTTTCTGTAAATTCATAAAGCATTGGTAGAAATATGTTGAAGTAAAGACTCTTCAAAAACAAATCAAACCACTTGGTTTAAATGTAATGACATTTTTTTCCCACTCCATAGCTATCACAACAGCAGCAAGATAATATTTTCCCCTCAAACACTATTGGTTTTTATTCTATACCTGAAAGAAGAATATAAAAAGGATTTTTATTATGTACTTTCAGTTTATTTATTAATAGTCTACATAAGGGAACTATCCTATTAACAAACTACCAACATCATTTCAAATAAAAAATATTATGGGGAAAATACATTGACAATTTTGCACAGAGGTAAGAATGAGAGAGCAGGTGCAGATATCTATTGAGTGGCACTTTAAAGTATTATAACGTGAAAATTTTATCTTATTTGATTTTATAACAACTCTATCTGATAAATATTCTTCCTATTTAATAAATAAAAGAAAAAAACAGGACTCAGAAAAATTAAGATAGTCCCTGACACCTCAGCTCCTCAAGGTCAAACTTGTTATATTAACAGTAAGGGAATATTTAACTTTTCTACTCTAATTTGCTTACAGGTTCACAGTGGGGTTTTCCAGAGACTATATAACAGATTGAATGTAGAAGCAGATACCAGAATTCAGCTGTCTCCCATTATGCCAGTTATAATAAATTTCTTTGTTTTGCAAGAAAATGTAAAAATTTAAAAAAATTCTCACTCTTTTTTTCTAAACTTTTCTTTTAGGTTTTGGAAAATACATAATTTTTTAAAATATTAAGAATGTTATTTAAATTACATGCAATAGCCTTTTAGTTTTTTTAATTGACAAGATATATTTTTAAACTTTGTAAGTTTTAACTTCTAATATGGCCCACATTAATATATATATAACCCACATAAATAAAAGCTCTTCAGGGTCCTTAATAATTTTTATGGGGATAAAGAGGGTTTATTTGACCAAAGAAAAATCAGAAATGCTGAACAAGAGAATGAACAACAGACACTAAAAGAAATATCTTTAACCAATTCATTCATACAAATGATCAAAAAGCAGGACTGAGCTAGGCTTGGTAGTGCTTGCCTATCACCAGGCAACTTAGCAGGCTGAGGCAGGAGGACTGCAAATTTAAGGCCAGCCTTAGCAACTTAATGAGGCCCTGTCTTAAAACAAAAGATAAAGAGA